AGTTTATCTTTTTTCGTATCACCCGGTGTGTTTTAATACGAGTGACGCTGTAATACATCGAAGACACCGATGTTATAAATTCTGATTATTAAGAAAAAAAAAAAAAAAAAAAAAAAAAATCAGTTACATAATATTAAACAAACAAAAGAAAAAAAAAGAAAGAAAGAAAAAAAAACACGGAAAAGCAGTATACAAAATAATTCGCTAATCAGCACATTTACACTATTATTAGAAATATATTCATACGTATGTTTACACGTTGTACGAATCACTCATAAAAATAAATAACAATCACGTTTATGCATATATCATAGTTAAAAACGTTCTTTGCGCCTATATAGATATATACATGAATATATATACACACACACACACACATATATATATATATTCATATATAGTAAGTTCACATACGATCATGTATGTAACATAATCCAAGCAATCTGATCACTCTTTAAGAATTTACATATCTTATTTAATAAGTGAACAAAGCATGGATGGATTCAAGAATCGTGGACAACTGTTAAGATCTATATACAATAAAAGTTTGAAAAAAGATAAAATGGGAATAATATATATTATGCAAGTTATTAAAAATATAACACGTTAGAGAAACAGTATCTTCTTTTCAATTTAGCTTGCATTGTTTTAAAATAAAAAAAAAAAAAAAAAGAAAAAAGTGTATATGTATGTTTTAAATCTTGATAATATCGCATTTCTTTTTCAAAAATATTGTACTGATATTATTTGAGTAGCATTTAAAGGTACAGATCTTGAAGATTTTAATTCGTACGTGAATAGTATGCCGTACATATATACATACATACATACATACATACATACATACATACATACATACATACATACATACATACATACATACATACATACATACATACATACATACATACATACATACATACATACATACATACATACATACATACATACATACATACATACATACATACATACATACATACATACATACATACATACATACATACATACATACATACATACATACATACATGCATACATACATATCTCTTGATTTGATATAAGTTTCTATTGGATCTAAATTAAATATCTGAAGTACGATCAAAGCAGAGTATATAAGAACTTCTTTGTTTTATATTTTTCTTTTTTGTCGGCTTTTTTTTTCCTTTTTTCTTCTTTTCTCTCTTTTTTTTTCTTTGTTTTTTTTTTTTTCTTTTTTTCATGATAGCTGCATGTGAGTATTACTTGATTCTTCTGCAATTTTCATATAAATTATGAAACACATTGTTTGAACTTATTTTCTAAACATGAGAGGCAAAGTTTTGAGCGATGATTGAATTTCAAATGGTCGTCAATTTTTCTTTTCCTTTTTCTGTTTCTTTCTTTTTTCTTTTTTTTTTCTTTTTTCTTTTTTTTTTTTTCCCTATATATCTTATAAAGTAATCATAAATCAATATTAGTCATATCACAAAGAACGTATTTTAAATCGGATAATATTTTTTAACCGCTAAACATTGCAGCATTAATACAAGAAAACTAATTGGTAACTGTTAATAGAAAGTCAGACATACCCCGCAAAGTTTCATTTCGATTTACAATATCTAATTAGACGATTATACTTTGATCCTAATCATTTTCAATCCTGTAATAAGCATATTTAGATTGCACGTTAACTCAAAAAACATTTGCACTTTTTGATTTGTGACTCCTTTTTATAGAAAGTTTTTTGAATCTGCAAAACTAAAAAATATGTCATGCACCACATTTCTAATAAATGTTAAAAATTTACGTATCACATGTCTCTTTAAGACATCCTAAAATGTACAATACATCGATAATCGATCTTAACTATTTTAATTCCTGCTGACAAAATCAGCAGAGTAAAGTACTTAAGTTTTGGAAAGATTAAAACTGATTTCACTTTTTTTTTTTCTTTTCTTTTTTTTTATGATCGAACAGCCAGATCATTGCGCAAACAATACAATTTTTCTTTTTTTTTTTTTAACTGCAAAATGTATTTACCACATACATTTGCAGAAGTTAACCAATGCAATGGAAGATTCATATTAAAAGTATAATCAACAATTGTGTTGAATCGCGCAATGGACGTATATATGATGTACAAAACAAAACGAACTTTACATTTATTTGTACTATAAAGTTGAAGAGGTACGTTAGCAGTTTGATAGCTGCAATGTACGCAGTAATGTATTTACTATATTATAAAATACATTATGATATTGCTGACACAGAACTATCTTTACAGACTCACGTACGAACTATAGAGCATGGACATTAGACATGCCTTTTATAGAATATTTTTCTCACCAGTCATATTACTATGTTTTGACAATAAATGAAGAATTGCTTCCCAGGACTGGTAAATTCTCTGCTTTGGTGAAAAGTTTATTCGAATTATAACGAATGTTATTTCAATGTAATAAATGTACTACATTTAAACAATCAATCAAAGTTTCTATTATTGCAAAGTAAAAAGATCTAACAAAGAAGCAAAATTGTATAAGGTACAGTAGCAGATCACTGTAAAATACATATGTGATCACTGTAAAAGAAACTGCACAAATTTATATATTTTATACATTAATCTTTTCTTCAAAGATTAATTTAATCTAATCTATGAGGATCAAAATTTATGTTACGACTAAATGGACAATGTCTCCTTAATCAACTTTTTCATTGTATTACCCATTGTTGAACTCGATGGGCTAGAAGTTGTGAAAGACAATTTAAAGAGATAAGGCTGAATGTCCGGATAAGAAGTATCAAAAATCAAATCTAATTCAGCCTGATTTGGCATTTTTGGTAAATAGTCATGCCTATTCATGACTTCAGTTATATAGAGAATTTTATCTGTCAACAGATCACCAACCTTCTCCCTACATATTTGACGTTCATGCTCAGTTGCTAATTTTATAAGCTCGAGCCTCACTGTCCATACTTCCCATGGTATACACTCTGCCTGAAACGGCCAGCGATTCTTTTTTTTCTGAAAAAATTCTAACGATATTTGACCAGAACCAGGACTATCCGTAGAACGTAAAGCTTCAGAAAAGCCCGATATTTCTCTTTTCAAGGTTTGATCAAGATGTACAGAGGAACAGCATACGTATGTGAAATCAATGAAATCACAGTCGACATCTTGATATCCGACGGTACCAACGGAATAGCTGCCTTCTTGTTTGTACTTAAATTTTCCAAGGCTTCTATGAAATAGAACGCTGTGAAATATACTGGCTACAGCTTCGTCGACCTGCCGACCCTCCATACTTAACTCAAATAGTTGTGTTCTGGCATTCATGATGAAACCTAAAAAGAAAATTATTTTACTCAATTCGTTTATCATTATAAATTATTAAAAAATAAATAACTATAAATATTAAGATCAAAAGGCAAATAGATGTATAGTTTAAATGATTCTTTAAAAAATATATTACATACTTCAAATCTTATAATTGGCATCCGCGCATAGATTTTTCTAAGTCGAAGCAATAATAAATATGAACTTTCCAAAAGTAAATTGTGATTTAACGAAACGATCTTATACAATTCTTTTTTTTTTCTTTTTTTTTTTTTTTTCTTTTTTTTTTCTTTCCTTTTCTTTTCTTCTTCTTTCTTTTTGTTTTGATAATCAACATTAAGCAAGAATTACAACTTATTATCTTATTATTACACAAAGAAACAATGCATAATATCGAAAAGACATTAACATCATATATTGAATATAAATAATATATATATAGTTATTATATAAATTGATATGTAAGGCGACATCATATAATCATTATATGCAATTAATAACTCTCACTGATAAAAAAGAAAATGGAAGAAATAAGTAATATACAAAAATAAACATAATTATTCTCTCATAACCTCACAAAAATAACAAACAAAAACATGAATCATTATTGCGACACTGCAAATGTTATTTAAATTTTTTTGTAAAATATGAAGTTATTCATCTAAATAGCTTCCACCATGAATAATTGAAGAAAATATGAAAACTATATAGAATCGTTATATAGACGCCACGTTTTCCGTCGATGATATGAGTGATATAAGAGGAAAGAGAGAGAGAGAGAGAGAAGAGAAAGAGAGAGAGAGAGAGAGAAGAGAAAGAGAGAGAGAGAGAGGAGAAAGAGAGAGAGAGAGAGAGGAGAGAGAAAGAGAGTGAGAGAGGGAAGAGAGAGAGAGAGAAAGAGGAAAGGTAGGGGAATACAAAAAAATAATAATAAAAAGAAAAAAAAAGAAAAAAGAAAAGACGTAAGAAAAACGTGCAACGTGTTCGAACATAACGTCAACTTCCTTTCGCTGCTTTTGCCGCGCTATGATTTTACGTAACGATAATCGAGCTCGATCATATGAAAGACTCGAATATCGAAACGATATTCAAAAAGAAGGAGGAGAAAGAGAAATAGGTGAAGGAGAAGAAAGAAGAATTCAAAATTTTGTTTAAAGCTACTTCTACTCACTTCGTAATTTGTTCTATTATCGAGCTTCGAAATGTTGATATAATTTCGTATTTTTCTTTCTTTCTTTCTTTCTTTTGCCCCCAAATAAGCCGGAGAATTGGAGAAAGAAAAAAAAAAAAGAAGACAAAACGATGAAGAGAGAGAGAAAAAAAAAAGAAAAAAAAAGATCTAGGTTAGTTGCTCTTATTCGGTCGTCGTCGTCGTCGTCGTCGTCGTCGTGGTCGTTGTTATCGTCGTCGTCATCATCATCGTCGTCGCCGACCCGTCACAGTTCTCGATCGTTTTCTGCATCGAGAGACTCTTCCTCGTACTGTTTTTTCTTAGCCCAATATCGCTGCTGCTGTTACTGTTGCTGATGCTGCTATTACTGTTGTTGTTGCTACTGCTGCTGCTGCTGCTATTGCTGTTGCTGTTACTGTTGCTACTTCTAATTCTACTTCTGGTTCTGCTGTTGCTGCTGCTGCTGCTGCTGCTGATGCACCAGCACCACCACCACCTCCACCAACACCTCCACCACCACCACCACCACACCACCGCCACCACCACCACCTTCGCCGCCACTGTCAACGCCGCCGTTACGATCACACAGAGTACTCGTGTCTTTTAATTTTCGAAATAAGACACGATTTGTCACTGATACGTTACGTTGTTGTCGTTATTACTATTGATACTACTAATTGTTCGATTACTCGTTTCCATCTCGATGTCACTTTACAAGTTCCTTATCACGAAGGAACGCGTAACATATGACACGTATCACTTATGACGGACATCACCTAGATGACCGAGACGCTGCTTTGTGGATAAACAACAGCTGTGCTTCTAACGCACGCCATCTTGATTATTGTTTCATAATCTATCCGTCCGACGGTGCTGCCATCGAATCACTCGATCTCTCTCTTCTACACATTTTTTTTTTTTTTTTTTGTTATTAAGGATGTTCATCATTTATAGTTTTATAATATGATTTACGCCAACGAGCAGTCCAATATTAATTCTTGACCGATTTTAATGAACGAGGTCATATTTTAAAGTCAAAAGTTTATACGTAAAATTCGTATATATATATATATATCTATCTATAACTTTTCCTCGATTTTTTGAAAGTTTTATTTTTGTTCGAAAAAATAAAAAAATTTATATGTATATATATAAAAAAAAAAAAAAATCATTTGATCAAAAAATAATGTACCCTTCGTGAATAATTTATGTATAAAAATAAAACTTATAAAGTCTGAGGAAACAATAAATTATCTTCATATTTAAATCTTCTGTTTTAAAAATATAACCTTGTGCGTGAAAGTCGAAAAAAAATTACGTTAAGGATTAATTTTGTTGGCGCAAAATCCTGTTTTCGACATTTCTCGTGAAAAAAAAAGAAAGAAAGAAAAATAAGTATTCGTATAGTGGCGCCACCTGAAATCTATGACTAAAGAGTGGAAGCTCCTATTCCCCCCACTACGGATTTTTCATATACACGTTTGATTGGTTTACATTATATATCCGCGAAGTAAAACTACGATAGCCCGTTTCTTTGTCTCTTTATATAAATTGATGATCAGAGAAAGAGAGAGATATTTTGATTCAATTCAAAATGGAAGAAAATGAGTAAGTACTTATGTTACATTTAGCTTCGTAAGGCTTAAGATGATTCACATAAATTTTAATGAATATTTTGAACGGACAATTTTTATGATAAAAAAAAAAAAAGAAAAAAAATAAATGATTGTTCACAATAATGAGTTTTAATTTTTGAGATATTTTTACATTTCCGAAAAATAATTATCTAAAAAAAAAAAAAAGAAATAATCTTTTAGTAAATTAATTCGATATTATATTTTCTAGATATTCTATGACGCAAAAGTTCTAAAATGGTAATCATACGATTTCGTAATTTAGGATATAACTGTAAGTAAGTTTTTCTAAATCCTTTCTCTATGATCAAGATTTAATTATTATTATTTAAAATCGTATATGTAATACTTTTATATACTATGTTACGTATTATAATATTTTTAAAACTATATAGTCGAATAAGTACAAGGATACATTTAAACTGATTAAATGTATAGATGTACAATCTTATTGTTAATAAAAATTACATATATAATATTTAAAAATACATATATAATATTTTTAAAAAATTGTTTAAATATTAAAAAAAAATTATGTATATTATTACTATTATTACTATTATAATATAATCTATAATATAATTTATAGTATAATAATAATAATAATAATAATAATAATAATAATAATAATAATAATAATAATAATAATAATAATATAATATTAAAAATATTAATAAAAATATTAATAAATAAAAAAAAGAAGTAATAAATGTGTAATTAAATATTATACAAATTATCTTACATCCTATATACGACGATTGTAATTTATAATAATGAAAGAAAAAAGGATATATTGAACTGAACAAAGGTACTATAAATATATTCAATTTTTCTAATAATGTCTTAAAAAAAAGAAAAAAAAAAAAAAAACAAAAAATAGAGAAAAAAAAAGGAAAAAAATGTCTCGTTTTCTCGTTCGAACGAATTTCACGTTTCATCGCGCTTTATGATTTTTTTTTTCACGAGAATTTTTGTCAAATAATCGACAATATAATAATTTGACGATGTCCGTGTTTCATCCATCGATAGATATATCTACTTTATGTAACGATGAAAATACAATGACAAAATACAAAACGATTCTTTTTGTTATCGTTCGTTATCATTTATCCTTCCCTTTATAATCGTTACTCCTCCACGTATATTAAATTTTTCACTTCAGTTCTTATCCGATTATCATATCGATCCTTCTGAAACGATTGATTCGCATAAAATTCTTTTATTAAATCGATACGAAGAAAATTAATAATTAATCATCATCACATAAGGCAAACATAGTCTTACAATATTTTTAATTATTATACAAATATATTATATTCATTTGAACAATTATTCACTGTGTATATGTTTGAATTCCATTAATCATTATTTAAATTAACAATCTTACGGATCGTTTAAACGATAATGACTCTTAAACGTTTTTAATATTAAAATAATTTAATTTCACTCTTAAGAGTGTTATAAACGAGAAAAAAAAAGAGGAAAAAAAAAAAGAAAAAGAAAGGAAATATATAGATCGATGACTTCGAACATTTCACGGAGTTAATTAACTTTCTTATATTGATCGATGAATAGGTCAGTTTTTTTCCTTCTTTTTTTCTCTCTTTTTTTTTTCCCTTTTCATACAAGCAACCTTGAACAATTAATTATAATAACATCACATTTTAAATCATAAATATCAGCAGCTCTCTTATTTATACGATTTAAATTAAAATAAATAATTCCTTCGATCATTTAATAATATTACTGTTACGTAAACATTATTAATATTGATAATTAAATATAATTTATTATTATATTAATATAATAAATAAATACAAACAAATTTCTATTTTATTAACCGACGAATAAATATCAAAGGTCTTCTTTTAGGATGTTTTTTTTTTCTGTAAGCATATCATCAAAAAAGAGATAAAAAATAAATATAATTCTATATAACACAAATTTCTCGAATAATTCATATAATTTTTTAATACAACAGTGATATTTAATTATTTTCTTTGTCTATTTCATGTTTCAGAAAATCATTGCAATAGCACGCGCATGAATGAAATAATCGAGTATTTGTATCTCGTTGAAATAAAAATATGATGAAATAAATGCAGATTTCCATATGTTTCAACTTTCTTTTATTTTAGTTTATTTTTCTGGCTCTCTCTCTCTCTCTCTCTCTCTCTATCTATTTATCTATCTCTCTTTTTTTTATCTCCTATTTCTTCTTTTTTTCTTTTCTTCTCCTTCAGGCTGAATCATCAAGGGATAGATTATTTTTATATACATGTATATATATATATATATAAACGTTACTCTACAGTCGAGTAGTTGGTCGACAAGATAGAGAAAAAAATACGGAATATGGTGGAAAGAGAAAGAAGAAAAAAAAAAAGAAAGAAAGGAAGGAAAAAAGAAAAAACAAAAAAAAAGCGACGAACCCACAAAAAATAGTTTACGCTCCTTTTTGTCAATATATGTTCCTATCCAAATTCTCTTTTTCATATATCCTTAATTTTAAATATTGAAATACTTATTTATGAAGTTTGAATAAAATGATTTTATTGACTAAACCAGAACTTAAATATTTGGATAAGAATAAAATTCATGTATCAAGAAGACCAAAATTCTTAACCTGGATCATATTTGTTTGTAAGATATAATGGATTTGTTTTTTTTTTTTATTTTTTTTTTTTTTGAAATTTTTTTATAAACAATTTATACGTATATTCTTGTATCTTTTTAACAAATTTATTTATTTTTTTTTTTCTTTTGCGTTGTCATATTGATAAGCTCTTATCGAAAGAATTAATAGAAAAATTAATTAATAATTTTGCTTTACAGTATATACAATTCTTTTCATCTGGATATGTTATCACGTGACGAAGAATATTTTTTTTCTGATTGTCTCAATTCTGGGAGAGATAACGTTTTGTTTGGACACTTTAGGGGAATGGGAAGATCTAATTTTAAATAAAGAAACTAATAAGGCCATTATATCAAGATACACATGGAGCGACAAGTTATGTTATAAATTTTTAAATAAACAATCCATTTTAATGGAATTAGATGATATAAGATACGTTGGTGTATCCATTGAGTTAGGCCTCTTTATCGTTCATAAAAATGGAAATATTGTTTCCATTAATATGAATGGCTTAACACGTAAAGAAATACAAATTTTAAGAAAAGAAATCAATTATTTTTTGAATATGAGTCGTATTCAATGTTTAGATTGTTTTCCAAGTGATCCATACGACCAGCTAATTGTTATTTCAGATTCAGGAAAGGAACGATTTAAAAGATTGCCTAAAAAATATAAATCCATTTCAATATCTAAAGAAATGTTACAGTCTAACAATGAAATGAATGATCTTAAATATTCGCTACAACAAAATCTTAGTTCGCCATTATTAGGATCCAATAAGATTGTTAAATCTTGTCAAGAAAAGCATTTAAGAAAAGGTCCATATACTGAAAATAGTTTATCTTTTGTTTACTCCAAATATATGAAACCTATCTCTGTACGTTCTTATGAACATGATACTAATTTAAAAATTTCTTAGAGAAAAAAAAAAAAAAAAAGAAAAAGAAAAAAAGTTGTACGTGTTAATGTTAACTGTTAATCTTTATTGATTGAATTATATAAATTTATGTTAATTTTTATCTATAGATCAATTCAAACTATTACTTTTACTCGCATATATTTATGTCAATAAATATTACGTTAAAACGCATAATAATAATAATTATATGCGCTTTACTGCAACCATTCTATTAATTATAAATACTCTTATAGTTATACAAATTTTATTGTATAAAGAATAAAATGATAATAATTTATTTAACGATCTCTTTGCAGGCACTATTTATATCACAAAATTGATACTGAAATCCTAATTCCTCGGTTCTTTTAGGAAATACCTTTTGTCCCTCCAACATCATCTATAACATATTTAAATTCATACATGATCTAAAATATTATTAAAAATATAAATGACAAAATTTAATACTAACTTTTGCACGTTCTTCGCTAAAAATTAGATTTAAAATAATACTTGGAAGTGGTATTATGGCAGGTCGTTTTAATGCATTAGCAAATGCTTTTGTAAATTCCTTGTTAGTTACAGGCTATTAAAAATGAATTTATTATCGAATGATATTAAATTATATATCGTTTGAATTGTTTTCAAAAGATTTTTATAAATATTACCTTAGGTGCTACACCATTTAAAATACCACAAACATTATCATTTTTAATAGCAAATAAAAATATGTTAACGAGATCGGTAATATGTATCCATGGCATATATTGATTTCCAGTACCAATAGGTCCACCAAGTCCAAGTAAAAAAGGTAAATAAATTTGTTTTATCATTCCACCATCTTTACCTAGTACTACTCCAGATCTAATAATGATCTGTCTAATTTTACTTTCCTGTGAAAGTTTTGCTGCAGCTTCCCAATCCCGACAAAGTTCTTATACAAATTAAACTTTTTTATTTTAATCTATATATACATATTACAAATCTATATTATTATTCTTTGTTTATCATTTTACCTGATAAAAAATCATAAGGTATACATTCACTTTCTTCCGTATATGCCGTATCGTTGGGTTTATAACATGCAACACCAGAAATACTAACGAATGCTTTTGCATCTGTACATTCGACGGCTCTTGCTAATATTTCTGTAGTTTTCACACGACTATCTCTAACAATTTCTTTAAATTCTGACGACCAACGTTTCGTTGGATCGAGTACATTCTGACCAGCAATATTGATTACAGCAGATGTATACTTTGGAAGACCATTTTCCTTTACATCTGTCTATAATATTTATATGAACAAACGAAGAATAATTATTACTTTATATAGATTTGAAAACATTTTTTCTACATTTGAACTAAAATAACATCTTACCCAAGTTATTCTATTAGAACCAGATTTACGTGAAACAATTGTACAAGTTATACCTTGTTGACATAATAATTCTATTAAACGTTTCCCTATAAATCCAGTACCTCCACCTAAGAATTATATAATCTTATCTATGATACAATCTTTTTCATGAAACAATGAAAAATTGTTCATTAAAAAGAAGAATAGAAATTATAAACTTGCCTACAACGACGTGTTTTATAGACATTTTTTTTCTCTTTTTGTTTTTTTTTTTTTTTTCTTTCAGACTGTCTATTTAAAAACAATCACGTTAGAAAACTTAACAACGAAAACATTCAATTTTCATAATAATAAAGTTCGTTGTTAATATATGGATTTAAATTTCATATTTGAATCAAGAAAAATAAATAAATTCAATTATTTAACGAATATATGAATTTTTATATTTAACATGTATATAAACAATTATTATTCTTGTATTTATTTGCATTAGATAATATCTCTTTAATAAAGATACTTTTCTTGAAGAAAGTCTCTTATAATAGATACAAAATAATTATATTATAATAATAATAATAACATTATTTTGTATGTGGATGAAAAAAAAATATACATATATATATATATAATTAAAAATAAAATTTTTATATTCATGTTACTCCGACTTTATGGTGTATTTAAAATTATATTAAGGTTATATCCAATTAGATGCTTGCACGAACATGAACAGACATTTTTAAATTTCAACCAATCAGTTTAAATTACTAGTTATTTCTTATTGGTCATGAATTTCGACCAATCAGTTTGAACGATTCCCTCACTTTTATTGGTCGTGGATTATTGTTATGCGCAGAAAATGATAACCTTTGAAACACTAAATCGTATAAACGAATTCAAACTTAAACTGTCGCCGTTAAAAGTAAATCATCAATATTGTGAAATAAAGTGTCAATTGTGTTTTATATACATATTTTATAATGACATTATTTCTCATTGTATTACAAGGTAAAAGATTGTGTGATTAATATGATACTAATTTTTTTTTAAATATATTCAATATTAATTTGTTAATGTATATATTTGTTAATTTGTTCATTTAGGATCATATTTCTTCAGCTGTCATATGACATTTGTAAGAAATTGAGAAGAAGGAAAGATATTTACTTTTGCACAAATTAATAGGATTTTATATCAATTATCAAGATGGCAAGAAAAAGCTTAGCAAATATAGTAATAGAATCAAATATGACCAATTTTCCGTCTACATCTTCACCACTCCGTAGAAAATCTATCGTCATACAAAAATCCTCATCAGCTTTATTGGAAAATGATGACGAGGCAGAACGTTTAGCATTAAGACGTGATGCCACATCAACTAGTACACCATTAACTACAAAAATTAATGAAAAGAGACGTTCCTTAGGTTTAGGATTTTTGACACAAATGTCAGAACCACAAATGACTGAATTAATATCACATTGTATCAAATTAAGCGCTGAAAATAAAATTAATGTTAAGAATGCATTCAGCTTAGAAATGATAGATTTTATGACATTTATGGTGACCAAAAGGAATTCTGAACTTACCAATTTGCAAGTGGCCAGTACGTCATTGGATGTATGTACAAAAATTTATGGATTTCGTGTGGATGGTATATATACAGAGATTTTAAAAATGGTCGGTGCATTGGATCGACAAAAGGAAAATAATTCTACCGATGAAGGGCCAATACAATCAAACAATGCAGAAGAAAATGAAGAAAGACCAATAGAAAATCAATTGAAGAAAAAAAAGAAAAGAACTAAACAGAAGATCATTATTACAGAAGATGTAATAAATGTATCCGTTGAAACCATGTTACCCTCACAAATGTTCATAGGATCTGGAGATTTATGTTCATCTGATATGCTCTATCAAGTAGTCCTATCGCATCATGCAAATTTAGGCTTTTATCATAATACATATAACGATATTATTTTAGATAAATTAAACGAAACAGAAACGGAGAATGAAAATCTTCCAGAATATACTATATCTCCAATAGAAAATTTTTCAGAATCAGATCTATGTCCTAGTGTTACTGATTTTGAATTTTTAAAATGGTCACCAGAAGATGAACCAGAAGACATACAAACTACACAAGAAAACAATGAAAATAGATTTCAATTTGATCTTGATGCTAGTATACCTTCTGCCGATGAAGAGGAATTTGAACCTATGAATTATTTTAGCATGCAAGAAGATACCAATAATAGAGATTTGTCTATGAGAAATCCTAATCAAGTAGAAAATATAGTAGACTTTCGTAAAGTTATGGCAGAACAAGTACCCGAGCAATATCACAAAACATCAGAATATTCTTTTATACAGAAAAATTTTAATTTAATTCATTGGGCAGGTCCTTCTTATTGGAAAGTTAAAACATTAACATTATTTCCAAATGAGAATAAAGTAGTGGAAACGTGTCATCAGGGACCGATTAAAAAAAAGAAAGAAATAGAACTTAAATATTCTCATGGTGCAATATCTGACATTGAACAAAAGTTCTTACCTAGCCAAGCAGTAAAGTTACAAATTAAAACAGCCAAAGTAGATTGGACTGAAGAAAAGGTAACTTTACCAGAAGATTTACATTATGATACTTCACAAATAACAAAATTATACCTTCGTCCTTTAATGTTTGCAAATCCTAGACAAAAAGATTTAACGGATACAGCACAATTGCCAGAAGATATCGAAGGTTATGATTATAATAATGAAAATGATATGTCAAACTTTTGTCCCGGTATTGATACAGATTGTGATATGCAAGAAAGAAATGATTTTGATGAATTAAGAAATGTGGATGAAAATATAGCGGGAAGTCAGATGGCATTTACCAATGATAATTTAGTAACTGCACCGACATTAACGAATAAAATCTTCTTGCAATATCCTTTGCGCGCCAAAAAAATTGATATGCGTCAGTTAAAGAAAACCATATGGAAATCTTTATCTAAATCATCAAATATGAATAATATGAATGCGGAATTGGGAGAACAAAATGAGAATACGAATCAAATTAAGGAATCTAAATGTTTCAATACCGTTTATAAAGCTTTACCAAATGAACTTTCGAAAATAAATGTAGAAGCATTAAGTGTGCCTATTGCAATAGTATCTTTACTTCACTTAGCCAATGAGAAATCTTTAAAACTTTCCACACTTTCAGATATGTCGGATATTATTGTAGAAGGAAATTAATGTATTAGTTTTATTATTATATTTTGTAAATGTATATATCTTATATGTATAACGATACTTATTACAATATATATATATATATATATAATTTTTTTTTTTTTTTTTTTTTTTTTTTAAACAAAGATACAAATAAAAATAAAGATACAAATAAGAATATCAAGATCAATATTTTATACAATTAAATAATCTCAAATTTTTATAGAATATTACGTACTAACGATTTAGTTTATATTTTATTTAAAATTTAAATATATTACGTCACATCGATCGAACTGCCATCTTTGATTAATCTTTAACGAGCAGTGCTGCCTCTAGCATTCGAAGTTAGAGATAAAAGATGATGTTATTCGTACTCGTAACACTTGCTGCTTGTAAATAGTAAAGATGGCTTCTGCTTTAGAAAATTTAGAAACACAATTGGAACTTTTTATTGAAAATGTTAGACAAATTCGAATAATAGTTAGTGATTTTCAACCGCAAGGTCAAAATGTACTCAATCAAAAGATGTAAGTATGAAATATATTTTTTAATAAATTGGTTATGTCGTACCTATTGTCTTTAACAATTTAAAAAGTTCAATAAAAGATATATCTACATTTCTATGATTTATATTTGTATTCAATATTTTTTTTTCCAGTCAAGGTTTAGTGAATGGATTACAAGAAATAGATAAACTTAAATCACAAGTTCAAGATGTTCATGTACCTTTGGAAGTATTTGAGTAAGTTATTATTATTATTTATAATTGTAACTACATTAATAATTTAATATGTTTAAAACAGATATCTTGTGATTTATTATGTTTCAGTTATATTGACCAAGGTAGAAATCCACAATTATATACTAAAGATTGTATAGAAAAGGCATTGACAAAGAATGAACAAGTTAAAGGAAAGATAGATGCATACAGAAAATTTAAAGCTAACATGTTGGTGGAATTAAATCGAGTATTTCCAAATGAATTAGCTAAATATAGAGCAGTACGTGGAGATGAATGAAAAATCAATCAATCAATCGAATGATTCGTTAAAGGCTGATGTGTATCATACATGTTTATCAAAAATTTAATTATCAAATCTTTTTTTCTTTTTCTTTTTCTTTTTCTTCTTCTTCTCCTTCTTGTTTTCTGAAATGAATCGTTATTATTTTGTAAATATTAGATATAAATGTTTATTACCATTTATAACGTCATAATAATATAATATTTCCAAGATATATATTTTGTGTCGTTCTTTCGTCTCTCATTAATTGTACAATAATTCTGTACGAATATATTTAATCTTTAAATATTATAAACTTTTATAAAATTATTTATAATCAATTATAATTAATATATTAAATTTTATAAAAGTCATTAATAATGAGTAAACAATTTTAAAGATAGCATTTAAAAAGTTAAAAAAAATTTCTTTTATTAGATATTTATGATATAAGATATAAAAAGGATGAATCAATTTTTTTCTAAGGAACACTTTTAACAATTAACGTAATTAATTAAATTATTAATTCACATTAGTAACAGAGTGATTCTCTAACTATATTTACAATCTTATACAATTTTAAAAACAATCTTTCTCAATTATATTAATAAACAATATATATATATATATTATAGTAAATAAATTGTATTAATAAAAAATATTAAAATATTAAATTGTTTTAAGATAAAAATCAAAGTTATTAATTTTAAATATTACTATTATTATATATTAAATTTATATAAATTTGATGACTTTTAATTTTGACATTAGTCACATCATTGATTCGCATACAAACTTTGATGTTTGTTGGAATTAAAAAAGTTGAAGTCATTAAAATGTAAGAAACGAATTTAATATTTTTTTTTGTACGACATATATATGTACATACATATATACATATATATATACATACATATATATATATATATATATATATATATTATCCTACTCGTTATACCCCCACTACTGTTCGCATTTCACGCGGAATCATTTTTCCAAGGAGGATAAAATCGTTCGTTCAATCGGAGGTGTGCAATCGACGACGGACAACATTCTCTTATAGTTAGTGATAGGTAGAATTCCATGAGAGAAACATGATTGCTATTACATTTATATTTGTCCTCGCTTTAGAAGTCTGTAGCGATTTCATCGTTGCTGAGAAAATATACAAGTAAGTGACCTTTTTTTACTTTATAACATATAATTATATATATATTTATATATTATAATATTTTATATATATATATATACATATACATTATGTAGCTTATATATTTAATATAATAAAAAACTTAAATAATTTGGATTAAAAGGTTTCATTGTAGCCGGGCGGGATTACTTTTTTTTTTTTCAATAGTGGATATGTTGCTAAGGTGAATGTTGCTTAAGAGAGATCTCTTTTCTATGTCACGTTGAAATATTTCTAATAACTTTCATCTGATCATTCTTAAATTATAATTCAAATATACGTATGTATGTACGTGTATATATATATATATATATATATATATATATATATATATATATATTATATTTTTTTTATTATATTTTTGTATCATACTACGTAAAATTTATTGAAATTTGACGACATTTAATTTTGATACGAGTCACAATTTGCATGAAATACAATTGACATTTGTTAGAATTACAAATCAAATTGAACTTGTCAGAGTATGAGAAAATAATTTTCAAGTTTTTTTCTTTTTTTTTCTTTTTTTTTTTTTTTATTACATATTAAAAATGTGCGCGAAGTCTTTTTGAAAATTTTTTCTCATAAACATTAAGAGACAATATTTATTGCAATGTAAACATGTTTTTCTATTTAAGAGATGATAGAAGTTTTACGATTAATAGTGTTGGATTTTAAACTGCGCATATAAAACGGTCGGTGAAAGATCGGCTCTTTGAACGTCCTTTCGATTAGAAATCGTAAGTAGTAGCGTTGATTTCTTTCTTCTTTTCTTTCTTTTTTTTTTTCTTTTTTTTTAAACGAGCGGGAGAATCACGTGACCGGTTGAATGAATATGGAGGACGTAATGGCGCGCTCGGTTCGTATTTTCAAAATTTTATGCGAAGCTTTCAATCTTTCTCTCTTTCTCTCTCTCGAGAGAGGGAGAGAAAGAGATATCTTCTTTGATACGGTACAATCAATAATACATAATAAATATGAAAGTTGATAAGTAGTGTACGTCTAGAATAAGAAAAAAAAATTAATGTTATCGAAGATATTAAAGAAATTTATAAAAATATCGATATCGAAGTTGATCAGACGATAAGACATTTTTAGAAATATCAATGAGCATTATTCCTTTTCGAAATGAGAAAAGGAAAGCAATATTATTAACATACTTTTAATAACTATAATAATAATAATAAAATGATATACTGTGATCTATATTAGTATAGTTTTGGATCAATTTTTTCTAGAATTATTAATTTGAATGTAAAATTCTTTTAATAATTATAATAATAATAATAATAATAATAATAATAATAATAATAATAATAATAATAATAATAATAATAATAATAATAATAATAATAAAAATAAAAAAGAATTTCCGAACGTCTAAATATTACTTATTAATAACTTAGATTGATAAATTAAACTTATAGATTTAAAAGCACAATAAAGTCGATCCCCTTTGAATATTTTTAAACCAATTATTTTAGAAATAATTTTTCTTGCTTTTTTTTTTTTTTTTTTTTTTTTGAGTACAGAGGGTAATATTTCAAAAGTCTCACTGTAAATTTACATATCAATATGAATTATAGATATAATAGTTATCACGATGAATAGGAAACAGACGCACCCACGCATTTTTAATCTTTCACTTATAACTATATTCCAATTAATATCACTATTATTATTCTATTTGTAGTTCACTATGGCATTACAAATGCAACGGTGGATACTGTATAAAAGAAGAAATCACAGAAGAAGTATCGTCTCCTATGTCATTAAAAGTTTGTCAATTATTATGCGGTGATAATGGTTCGTTATGGCCAAAACCAACAGGACATTTGTCCTTGGGAAGTACAGTTTTACCTCTAAATGTTAATGACATCAAAATCGATGGTATAAATCCGAATACGAAAGTAGGTAGTCTTCTACAAGAGAACATTAACATATTCAAAGAAAACATAAAGAAAATTAGTGATGTCGTTAAAAACGAGGGATTAGGATTGATAATTAATGTTACCGATATTCATGATTTAAATGACGTCCAATTGACCTTAGACACAGACGAAAGTTACAAATTACAAATTGATCAGATCGATGACGAATTTGTAAGTAGATTATCCTTTTTTTTTTCTATTTAAGGATTGTACAAGTTTTATTAATTTCTTTTATATATATATATATATATATATAAATATTATTAATTATATATTTCTTTTATATATATACATATATATATATAATTTCATCAAAGAAAACTCAATATTGGTGGATCAAGATTAATTTTAATTGCTATTAGAAAAAGAAAAAAAAAGAAAAATAAGGAAAAAAAAAATATTTATAATATTTTTGTCATGATTTTTCATGGTCATCAAAATATCCATTTTAACTTCCTTTTTTTTCTTTTTCTGATACATCATTATAAACCGGTATTCATTCTTCCTTAGAATTAAATTATCATTCTTATTCGAAACTGTTTAGTAATTTAAATTTGATGTCTCTCTTCTTCTTCTAATTCTTTTTTTATTTTTTTTTTTTTTTATCATCATCACCATACAGATAAGCGTAAAAATAACAGCAACGACTTATTTCGGTGCTCGAAATGGTTTGGAAACGTTGTCACAATTAATAGTATTTGATGATTTGAGAGATATAATACAAATCATTCATGACGCTTATATCGAGGATAAACCAGTATATCCATACCGTGGGATTTTGTTGGACACCAGTCGTAATTTTATTACCGTTGAAGTGATCAAGAAGACAATAGAAGCAATGGCCATGTCAAAAATGAATACTTTTCATTGGCACATCACCGATTCCCATAGTTTCCCATACGAAGTTAGAAATTATCCATTGTTTTCTAAATACGGTTCCTACGGCAAAGACAAGGTCTATACGAAGGAAGACATTAAGGATATCATGAAGTTTGCTCTTTTACATGGAGTACGTGTTTTACCAGAATTCGATGCACCTGCTCACGTTGGGGAAGGCTGGCAATGGGTAAATTTTATTCTAAAAGCTATGCATACAAACTTCTCATCCAAAAGTTTGTAAAACTTTTAACGTTTGACAGAGATTATTATTATTATTTTTGTTTTGTTTTGTTTTGTTTTTTTTTTTCTTTTTATCAATCTTCACAAATATATTTTTCATAGATAGTTCATTGTAACAAATTCATACATCTGTGAAAGATTAATATCTTTGATATAATTTCAATAGATTGATTAGTACTTTCATTTTTTTTTCTTTTTTTTTTTTTTTTTTGAATATCATTGATTCTTTTATTGTTTTTTTCATCACTTTCAAATTCATTTGAATTGATTTTAATAGGTAGGTCATAATGCAACGGTATGCTTCAAATCTGAACCATGGCAAAGTTATTGCGTCGAACCACCATGCGGTCAATTAAATCCAACAAGCGATAAGGTCTATGAAATACTTGAAGGTATTTACAAAGAAATGTTGGAAGATTTTCATCCGGACATATTTCACATGGGAGGTGACGAGGTCAATGTTAATTGTTGGAACTCCAGTGATGCTATCAAAAATTGGATGCTCGCTAAAGGCTGGAATCTATCAGAGTCGAGTTTCTATTTGCTTTGGGATTATTTCCAAAATAGAGCACTTGAAAAATTAACTATAGCCAATGGAGGAAAAGAGATTCCTGTTATTATTTGGACTAGTGGACTTACCAACATAGAAAATATGCAATACTTGGATTCTAAGAAGTATATCATTCAAATTTGGACGACTGCAACAGATAACACTATCGGTAGATTGATAAGCAAAGACTTCAAAGTCATTATTTCTAATTACGATGCTCTCTATCTCGATTGCGGGTAAGCCTATTAATCTTGCTATTTTTTCTGAAAAAAGAAAAAAAAACTACAAAGAAACAAAAATCAATTAAATCAAATCAAAAGAAGATGATATTAATGTGTTCAGTATATTTTCATAGTTTTGGAGCATGGGTTGGAGAGGGTAACAATTGGTGTTCACCGTATAAAGGCTGGCAATTAATTTATGATAACTCTCCGATGTCCATTCTTCAGAAGCAAGGTTTTGGTACAAATAAAAAGCAATTTGTATTAGGTAAAAATATTGTTGATCTAACAGATCACAAAGATTATTTTTCTTATTATTTTAAATTGATAAATGAATCCTTTTTTCTTTCTTTCTTTCTTTTTTTTCTTTTTTTGTTTTTCTTTAGGTGGAGAGGTAACACTTTGGAGTGAACAGGTCGACAGTGTTATAGTCGATTCAAGATTATGGCCCAGGTCAGCAGCTTTCGCTGAAAGACTTTGGTCCGATCCTCCTTCAACCTGGATTCATGCTGAACACAGAATGTTAAAACAAAGAGAGAGATTAGTTCAAAGAGGTATTAATGCTGATAGATTGCAACCCGAATGGTGTATTCAGAATCAAGGACATTGTTATCTATAAATTGAAAATAAAAAAGGAAATTTTACTCTCATCAATAAGATAAATTAATCAATGCAATTAGTATTATTAATAACGATCGAACTTTGATTGCAACAAATTGAACATTTATATATAATGATTGTAAAATTGATAAAAAAAAAAAAAAAAAAAAAAAAAAAACAAAAAAACAAAAAAAAATGGAAAGAAATAAGATTTTCTCTTTCTTGTCATTAACATGATAGATAAATTCTAAATAAATTTACATACATATATACAGGGATGGATCAATAGTTTTTAAGTAATTTTTCCAAATCAATCCACTCTCTTTTCGATAGTTTTTTTTTTTTTTAAGCTGATATCTTTTTTCATTAAAAGCTTATAAAATTAAAAGAAGAATAAAAGAAATAAAATTAAAAGTTTAAAAGAAGATCATTAAAAAGTATTAAGATTGATCTTTAAAAAGTCACCTAAGAGTATCTTTGATCCATCCAGATAATATCATATAATAATATAACATATTTCTTGAAAAAACGTGAAGTTAACGATTGACTCAATATATAATTAGTACAACAAATATATTTATTTTTTAAGAGTCACAGATGATATCGTACAGTGACAATGATTTGTCACTCCTCGAAGTGTCTCTCGATGTTGATTTTTATAAGCATAAAACAAAACAATTCGGGGCTTCGAATTTATCTTAGAATCATTCAAGAAGAAAATCTTGAATTCTTAAATGTACGCATGAGATCATCGCGTTTATAACTTCTTTCGAGTATTTGTAATATTACTTTGTAAATTTCTTTTAAGAACACAATCATATAACGATTATAATTATACATATATATATATATATATATATATATATATGTATATATATATATCATCATTATTATTAATAATAATAATATTTTTTATATTATTAATTATTAATGATAATAATATTATTTTTATTATTATTATTATTATTATTATTATTATTATTATTATTATTATTATATTATTTACACGGATGTGACGAATTGAAGAGTACGAAGGAAACGTAGATCAAGCGTTATCTATCTTTTTTTTTTTTTTCTTCATTTTCCTTCAACGATTAAAACATATTGTCCAGCTAGAATAAAATATAAGTTTTACTTTTTTTTTTCTTTTCTTTTCTTTCTTTCTTTCTTTCTTTTTTTTTTTTTTTTTTTTTGGAAATAACAATCAACGAGAACAATTAGTTCTCACTGTTTCGTTGATCTCACGTGATCGTGAATAGAAATCAGGTACTGAGGATCAATAATTATCCTCTTTATCGTCAAATGGCGTCTTAACGAAATACGTTGTTAATGTTCCTTTGCCCTTTACAAAGGTTGGCCCACGACAAACTAATTCATATCCAGCTGCAATTAATATCTTTGCAGTATCCTCGGTAACCTGAAGCTTTCCCATTTCTCCGCAACTGTCCATTCTTGATGCCACATTCACCGTATTTCCCCAAATGTCGTATTGCGGTTTTTGTGCTCCTACGACACCTGCTATCACCGGGCCATGATTGAGACCTTAACGGGAGGAAAGAAATTTTTTTTTTTTTTATTATAATTCATTTTTCTTTTCATTCTTTTTTCCTTTTTTTTTTTTCTTTTTTGTTATCAGTTTCAACGACAGAGTTCCAATTATTTTTACTATACCGGCTTAATATAAATATCAAATAATAATTATTATAATATAATGACATGTGAATTATTATGAGATAAGATATTATTATACTAATATGATATAACAGATAAAATGCAATATTATAATTATTTATATTAAAACAAGAAAATAATTCAATAACATAGTATCCCTAATTAATTTTATTATTAAAATAATATATCAGAGTATCAGAATATCTCTTATTTTTGTCATAATAATATTTTTAAAAAGATGTTTAATGTTAAAAAAAAAACAAAGAAAAAAAAAACAAGAACATTTTCAGAACTTCTTTGTTTTTTTTTTTTTATTTATTTACTTTTTTTTTTTTCATTCTTAAACACTTACCCATTCTCAATTTAAATCTTTGAAAAGATTCCCTATTTATCTGATCGAGAATCGTCATCAATGCAATGGCGAACTCAACGAGTACGATCACATTATGATCCTGTTGTTGTAAGGGATCCTAAATAGAAAAAAAAAAAAAAAATTAATTCGATATAATTTCGTTCTTTTTCTTTTTATTTTTATTTTCATTTTCTTCATCCTCTTTCTCTTCTTTCTTTTAAATAAAAATAATTTTATTTACCTTAGCTTCGGTATTCTCTTTACCAGGACTTAAACCAGACGCCAACATATAAGTACTTCCAATCGTTTTGATTTTCTCAATGCCCGAATATTTCGGTTTCAACAGAAGCATGTCAAAGTCGCAAATAATTTCATTTAAAAGTCTCAGACATTCTAGGCCTTGTTTATTTATATCAGTCTCGTCGTAAAATTCCTTATAATTTGGTATTGAAGCGAACATCACTGCAATACTGCTGTATCTTTCGTGATAGAGATCCTAAAAAATAATAATAATAATAAAAAAAAAAAAAAAAAAAAAAAAAAAAAAAAAAAAAAAAAAAAAAAAAAGAAAAAAAATAAATAAATAAATAAAAAACGAAAAATATCGAACGATGGAATAAAAATATTTTTGATTGAAAAAAAAAAAAAAAAAAAAGAAAAAAAGACTTAATTTCCCAATGAAAGAACAAAGAAAGATTATACAATCGTTTATCCAACCTGCGTTGCTCTAGTCGCTAGAAAATGATCGGCCACGTGCGCAGGAAGTATATTTTCCAATAGTATCTTATTAATTCCTCTCATGGTCTCAACGTCATCTTGTTCGACCTTTAATTTACTCTTCCAAAGAAAATCTGTTCTAGTTGTGTACTCAACCTGTCTGTCTAAGACATGTAATACAAATGCCACCAATAACAATAAATATCCTATTTCCAATAAGTAATTTAATCCTTGAAATCTATACACATAATTTATAATAAAGATAAATTAAATAATAATTGTCATTTATTAGATCATATTTAATAGAACACGGTTTACTTACTCCGTATTGTGTTCTCTATAATAAAGCTCTATAATCGGTGCCTGAGATAAAATTAATAATATCATGGTAATTGTTATTATCATAACTATGAGTTTTAATAGAAAGCCTACTCGTAGATGAGTCCAACTGACGACTAATGCAATCGTTGCCGAGTATACGTATAACTAAAAAAGAAACATTGATATTTGCAATTAGTTTCTATATCAAAAGACATTATTACAATAACGAAAAAGTATATTAAAAATGTTGATTAATTTTAATAATAATAATAATAATAATAATAATAATAATAATAATAATAATAATAATAATAATAATAATAATAATAATAATAATAATAATGATAATAATAATAACAATAAGAGTTCGTCGAAATGTCAACATTAATGATATAATAAATAAACATTAAAATATTAGATGATTTTAATTGGAATTATTAGAAATCATTATAATATATTTAATTAAAATATTAGGTTAGAAACTATGAAACGGGCGTTGAATGAAAATAAAAAAACAAGATTGTTTCATAGTTTCATAGTTTCAAAGTTTCATAGTTTCAAAGTTCAAAGTTTCAAAGTTCATAGTCAAACCTAATATATAATTATATGCAATTAATTCTAATTGTGTACAATTAAAAAGAATTTCAATTTGTGCATAAAAGGTGCCCAAAATCTCAGGAATTTTTAATATCCGTCATTTATATGGAATGAATAATTTTGACTTGAAAAAAAAAAAAAAAAAAAAAAAAATACTATATATTCTTTGAAGCATCAGAAATAATAATCATCAGTAGGTTTGAAAAAAAAAAACTCATTTTCAATTTTGTCAATTATAAAAAAAGAAAATTCATGGAATCGTACAATGGGCAAATATAAAAATTTTAATAGATGTTCAAAATTAATCCCCATGATGTTGTCCTACAATCTAAAAAATTTTTACAACATAATTGAATTAATCGGAAAATTTAATTTCTAATTATATTATTAATTTATTTCATTATGATATAAAATATTAAATATTGAACATACCGGTGTATCCTGATAAGAGTTATGATCAATATCGATTAAACTGATAACGGATGAGGCA